TGCAAAGATTGGTCATGTTTTGATTAATTGATCCAATACATTTTTTTTTAATTTTACCATTTAAAGGTCACTAATGGACTTTTTCAACTCGCTGGAACAGCCTGTATATTATACTTGTCATAAAATTTACTTCAATTAGTACTCTTTGAGTCATATTTAATGTAACTTAGATTAAATAATCTTTCGATAAATAATATAAAAATAGATTTTTTCAAATTGTGCCATTTTTTTCAATTAGAATTTTTACAGATAGATTTTGTTACGCATTTTTGATTAGTTGATGTAAAAAAGAGACAATAAAATAATTTTGATAAAAAATTTGCGAATCATATAGTGTGAATTTTACACGTTATTTCCACAAAACATTTAGGAATCCGATATGATTTAACCAAAGTTTCTACTAGTTTGATAATTAATTAGAACAATAACTGAGTAAATTTTACTTAAGTTTTGATTAAATGATCAAATACATTTTTTTTTAATTTTACCATTTAAAGGTCACTAATGGACTTTTTTAACTCGCTGTGACATCCTGTATATTGGTTTTTCGAATTTTTGCGTGAAACTTTCCCTCAAGCCCGATAAAATGCTAAAATTTCGAAAACAAGACGATAAAACCCGACTCGGGAGCGGAAAATTGCATCCTAGTCTGAATTTATAACCCTGGAAAAGTCGAATGTTGGCTTTTATATATTTCCATAAGCCTCTCAGACATTTAAATGGGAATCTGGCGATCGATTTAGTTAACTTGAGCTTTAAAAATGTGATTTGTTGACACGTGCGTTCCAGAAGGCACCACTTTGTAAACACTGAGGGTCAAAAAAGTAAACACTTTACTGCCTCGGATTTACCTTCAAATCGATCTCGCTGAAGGGCACCGCGAACCACGGCAGCCCCACGAGACTGTCTCTGTGACTGTTCTCGAAGTCGCTAAACACGTCATTATTCGCCCACAGAACCACTTGCACCACTTGGAATTTTTTTATTTGACAATTTTCCTGGTTGAGTTTTTCGTATAAAAGTTTGAGTTTTTTGGTGAAATCGTCGCTTTGTTGACTTATATTAGCAAAGGAGAAATAAACGCCGGTTATTTGGACGTTTTGGAGGACTTCCGACGTCGCGACGCACAGGAAGTCGCCGGATTTCGACGAATTTGTTTCGCATTTGAGAAGTTGTTGGCCGAATAAACGCTCGTGCCATTGGCTTTTGTGGTCCATGGCATAGCGTCGCGACGGAGACGCATCGACTGACGAGAGGCGAGCACGCGACGACGGCGCCGCGACGCGCACGACGCCACCGGCGCAAAAATACACATTTTAAAATTCCGAAATTTACGTAAATTTAAGTTTGAGAACGCAAACGTTAGTCGTAAACTTAACAGCGTAAGTACGTAAAAAATTAATTTTGAGGAAGAAAATTCACGCATAAACGCTAACATAAATACAGAGAAAGAAAATTATCGCAACCTTAATTTATGAAAAATTAAAAATTTAGAATATAAATAAATATATGACGTAAAAACGAAAGAACTTAAATACGTAAAGTGAGATATCTTAAATGTCAAAAGTTTTGAAAAAAGCGTAAACATTTAATAAATGTAACGTATAAACGCAACGTAAGTTTCTAACGAATAAAAATATGGACGCAAACGTAATGACGTAAGAACAAAGAAACGGAGAAAGCGTATTCAGATGTGAGAATGTTAGTTTAAGAACGTAAACATAAGTCGTAAATTTAACGACATTAGTTAATCCTGAGGAATAAAATTAACGTATAAACGCAAACGTAATAACATAAACACAGAGAAAGTAAATAATCAAAACCTAAATTTATGGAAAATTAAAAATTTAGGATATAAATAGATGGCGTAGAAACGTAAGAACTTAAGAACGTCAAGTGAGATATCTTAAAAGTCAAAAGTTTGTAAAAAAGCGTAAACATATACTAAATGTCCCATAAAAAAGCTTGTAACGCATAAAAATATGGACGCAAACGTAATAACGTAAAAACGTAGAAACGTATAGGTAAATAAGAATGTTAGTTTGAAAACGCAAAGGTTATTAGTAAACTTAACAACGTAAGTACGTAAAAATATTAATCTTGAAAGAAACGCATAAACGCAAACATAATAACATAAAAACAAAAAGAGTAAATAAACAGAACCTTAATATATCAAAAATTAAAAATTTAGAATATAAACAGATAAAGTAGGAACGTAAGTAAGTACTTAAGAACGTAAAGTGAGAAATTTTAAAAATTAAAAATTTTACAAAAAGCGTAAACATGTAAACGTAAAGACGCAGCAACTTAAATATTTAACGTAAATCGAGTTTTTAAAATAGGAAGATGGACGTAATCGTAATGACGTAAGAACAGAGAAACGGAGAAAAAAATATTCAGATGTGAGAATGTTAGTTTGAGAATGTAAACATAAGTTGGAAATTTAACGACATTAGTTAATTTTGAGGAATAACGCAAAACGTAGTAACAAACACAGAGAAAGTAAATAAACAAAACCTAAATTTATGGAAAATTAAAAATTTAGAATATAAATAGATGGCGTAGAAACGTAAGAACTTAAGAACGTAAAGTGATATATCTTAAAAGTCAAAAGTTTTTAAAAAGGGTAAACATTTAATACATGTCACATAAAAACGCAACGTAAGCTTGTAACGAATAAAAATATGGACGCAAACATAATGACGTAAGAACGTACAAACGTACAAGTGAGAATTTTATTTTCAGAACGCAAAGGTTATTAGTCGTAAACTTAAAAACATAAGTACGTAAAAATATTAATCTTGAAAAAGACGCATAAACACAAACGTAATAATATAAAAACAAAAAAGGTAAATCAACAAAACCTTAATTTATCAAAAATTTGGAATATAAACAGATGAAGTAGGAACGTAAGTACTTTAGAACGTAAAACTAAAAAGTTTTTAAGAAAGGGTAAAAATAAATGTTACGTAAAAACGCAACGTAAGCTTGTAACGAATAAAAATATGGACGCAAACGTAATGATGTAAGAACAGAGAAACATTAAAGTATTAAGATGTGAGAAAGTTAATTTGAGAACGGAAAAGTAAGTCGTAAACTTAACGACATAACTATGAAAATACGTTAAAGAATAAAATAAACGTATTAACGCAAACGTAATAACATAACATAAAAACTAAGAACGTAAACGAGCAAAACTTAAGCTTCTTAAAACTTAAGAATGTAAGCATGAAAAAATTTTAATCATGAGGAAGAAAATTTACGAATAAACGCAAACGTAATAGCATAAACATAAAATTTAAATAGATGACGTAGAAATGTACGAATTTAAGAACGTAAATTGAGTTATCTTAAAAGTTAAAAGTTTTGAAAAAAACGTACCTAAACATTGTACATAAATGTAACGTAAAAACACATTGTAAGCTTGTAATGTATAGAGTATAATCAAAATATATACGCAAGCGTAATGACGTAAGAACGTAGAAACGTACAAGTATTAAGATGTGAGAATGTCAGTTTGAGAACGTAAACGTCAGGCGTAAACTTAACGACTTAAGTTAATCTTGGACAGTAAAATACTCATAATAACACAAAAAGTAAGAAAAAAATTACTTTCTTATTTTTTGTGTTATTATTTTTGTTTACTTAAGAAAACAAAACCTCAGCTTATCGAAAATCAAAAATTTAAAATATAAACAGATGAAGTAGAAACGTAAGAACTTAAGAACGTAAAGTGAGTTATTTTCAAAGTTAAAAATTTTGAAAAAAGCATAGACGTTTAATAAACGTAATCGTAAAGACTCAGAACGTAAATATGTGTGCAAATCGCACATTTAATAGGAATATAGATGCAAACGCAATGACGTGAGAACGTAGAAACGTAAAAGTATTAAAGTGTGAGATATTTAATTTGAGAACGTAAACGTAAGTCGTAAGCTTAACGCCATAAGTATGAAAAAACTTTAATCTTGTGGAATAAAATAAACGTATTAACGCAAACGTAATAACATAACACAAAAACTAAGAACGTAAATAAACAAAACTTAAGCTTCTTAACTTACTAAGTATTAAGAGTACTTGAAAAGGTAAACGTAAGCTGATAACTTAGCAACGTAAGCACGTAAAAACCGTAACATACAATCGCAAACGTAATAACACAAAAACTAAGAAAGTAAACAAAACAATATAAATGGATGAAGTATGGATAAAGGAACGTAATAACTTAACAACCTAAAGACGTATAAAAGTACTTTATTATAAATTAAAAAAACGCATGAAAAACTTAAGTAACGTAACATAACGTAACGTAACATAACGCAACTTAACGTAAAGTAACATAATTTAACTGTTAGAATATTGGAATATGATCACGAGCCGCCACTGCACGCCACATTTCCTCGACTATCGATTTTCTATCCTTGTCTAGGACGTGACCGCAATGTTTACAAAAACTTCGTACATCTGCGACCAGAAGTCGGCTTAAGGAGGATGTTTGGGGTAACTGAGCTGTTGTCTCTTCTAAGTGCTTCATTTTGACTTCAATTAAGACTGACATAGAAGATTTTTTCTCTTAGTTTTTTCCCCTCAAAATTTATTTGCTGGTCTAATTTAATTAACAACCAGGAACATTATCATTACCCAAAAATTCAACACGCCATTAACGGACTTTCTCCTGAAAGCTTTGGTAAAAGCCACGCAAGTAATTATTTCCGTATCGATATTTCAGCGAAGAATTTCGTAATGAGCTGGGGGAAAACCCTGAAAGCCGACTTGGAGGATAATGATATACACAATGCTCTTGAAAGTAGGCGTTGAGTCGATAATTATGGCTTTTGTCACTTATGAATGATTTATAACATTTCACAAGTTTTTATAACTTGTGATGGTTTTCCGATTTCCGTCAAAAGCTCAACTCGAGAAACACAAAACAAAAGCCACCGAAATCAAGCAACTTTCAGGCTCATTTTTTAAACGTTGGCACTATTGATTAACCATCCCAGCGTCGGGAAGTTTCAGGAATGCGCCGATTTGGCATTTCATTATTTTTGCTTTATTCCAACTGAAAAGTTTCACTCACTAATGCGATTACAAGGCTTGCGTTATCAAAATCGATAATAATTTAGAATTTAATTCCGTGAAATTGCAAAATATTTTTCTCGCTCGGAATGCCAAGCATTGGGAATATCAATTCAGTTCCAACGTCTTGGATTGTTTTTTTATTATTCAAACGTTGCAATAGTGAGGAAAAAAGAACTGTTTTCGCGATTTCCTCGCATAATCAGCCATTTAAATTCACTGAAGTTTAAGTCCCTATTTATTGTATGTGTTTTCTGGGACGCTTTCTCATATCTTTTCAGCTTTAGAGGGGTGTTACGTGAGGAAAAACACCAAACAGGCGAATGTGATAGGGAAGAAGTTTATGAGGGAGGGAAACTGAATTTGGGAGAATTTTTGTTCTAAGTTGATGGTTATATAGGCAACCAAATATACACCTTTCCAACATTTTTACTTTAATAAAACAAATTTTATATAATTTAGGATGGTTTAATGGTTGTAAATACATTTTTGGTAAATATAAGTCAATTATTTATTGTAAAATCTTATATTAATTATGATGTTCCTAGAGCAGTATAAAAACAGTTTAATGTGTGTTGTAATGTAGACCGTGTGGCCTAATGGATAAGGCGTCGGACTTCGGATCCGAAGATTGCAGGTTCGAGTCCTGTCACGGTCGCACAATTTTTTGCTTTTTTTCGTTTCAAATGACGCAGATAATTCATTTCTATAAATTTAATGTAAATCATCACAATGAATAAATAATTGCATCCAAACATAGCAATGGTTAAATTCAAGGTTGCGTCACATCCGGTCACCCATTTAAAATATTTCAATGCGTTTCAGTCGAAACTGAAATTTTCTCGTGACTAAGCATCAACGTAGCCACTGAAATGATGACATTTAGTGTGGCATCCGTCCAAAAGTAGCGTTTGCTTCTCGAAGGTGAGTCCATCTTAATTTCCTTAATTTGGTGTAAAATCGCGTCGGCGTGTGTCAAATGATGACGTCACGTGACTCGCCTAAAAGGCGATTTATCAAAGAGGATTGGTCGCCGCACCCAGTCGAATTTCCCGCCTCGTGTGCTGTCTCGGACGAAAGAAATGTCGCGAGCGAGGCTAGCACACGTCATTGTCGGATGAAGCGATGAATTATTGAGGGTTTTGGGAGTGATCGATGGACAATTAGGGCGGAATGAGTCATTAAAAGTGTGCGTGGTCGACGAGACAAGGGTTGGATACACATATTCATAATTTAATTCGCGTTGTGCACACGCCGGTATCGATTAGGAGGGGTGCCGGTGAAACATCTGATTTTTTACACGAGTTACCGATAGGGTGATTGGGGTAAATTCACTTGGCTTGATTTACATAAAAATCTAGTTTTTAAAAATTCGAAAACATTAAGTATAACGTTAAAAGATTAAAAGATATAATTTTGCAATATACAGGGTGAGTCATTATTGGGCATTTGGGAAGTACTGTCGCTAATATTGAAAGTACAAAGCTTTTGTGTTGGATTATACAGAGTGATTATAAATGATTTTCATCTAGCCAGCTGTGAATTTCCCATGTAAAATAAAAAATGCCGCTTTACGAAAATAGGGGTACCTACTTGTTTTAACTCAAAATTAAAAAATCGCCGTTTACTAAGCGTCCACTTTGAAAATAGACTTCAATTATAAACTTGTTTTCTTCCAAAGTATACATTATTATCAATTATTATTGGAAATTAGTTGAAACAATAAAAGTTTAATTAACAACAATTTATTATTAATTAATAAGTGACACTAATGACAGAACTAGAGCTTTCAAAAATTAGAGCGGCACAAATAAAGTTCCATGCAAAAAAATTCCAGAGGTGGCTAGATGAAAATCATTTATAACCACTCTGTATTATTTCGACAAAACGTATTTTGAATAATGTTAAGGGCTTTCTTAGAAAATGACAACTTATATGACTTTTTTGTAAATAAAAATTAATCTTTGTATCATAGACTGTGTAAAAAAAGTTTTGTAGTGGGTTGCCACTTAAAAAAAATAAAAATTTTGTAAAACTCAAGAACAAAAAAAAATTCGAAATAGTATACATATTAAAATACAAGTTGTAGAAGGTATCTTTTTAAGCACGAATTTGAAAATGAATGCTTGATGAACCTTCTGCAACGAGTGTTTTACACTATTTTTTCTAGTTTGCCGCTTTATATCATTTTATAAATTAAGACAAAAATAAAAAAAATTCTTGGGAATTTTGCGACGGTTGGTGACATTTATGTGAAATAATTTTAGGCGGCTGTGAAAAATAAAAATAATTCTTATTTTCACATTTGAAAATGAATTGTGAAGAAAGTCTGTCACTAAAATTAAATTAACGCCAACGACGAATTAAAGCACTCGAATGACGTCATTTGGGTGCTTTAATAGACACTGAAATAGAAAAACTTATTTTTGAGATACATCACATTTTTATAAAACTCATTAATTATTCATTAATTAGTTTTTTTTTTAATAAATAGTTTTAGCAAAAAGCTTTTTTATATTTTTTCCGTATTTGTATTTCTTTTGTTAAATGCTTTAAAACCGTGTTTTGTTTTTGGATTTTCGTTACGACGTTGGTAAGTTATTGTTTTTTTTTGCATTTCTTTTTAATTTAACGTAAACTCTTATAGCATCTTT